AATTTCCTCCTCTGATTTCCTCCTCTGTTACTACGGCAAAACGAGCAGCCATTTTGAAAAAAAAGCTATAGTCACTGACCAGTGACTATCACTTCAGAGACAGTGAATCTTAACCAATCAGAATGCAGAAAAATCAATAGTCACCTGGAAATTTATACTAATAGACATTATTTATTATCACAAAAATAGGCGACACAAAAATCATTGAATCAGGGGTCATTCACCTCGGAATTAGCGACCACAGCCTGGTTTATGCATGCAGAAAGGTTAGTATTCCAAAAGCAAAACCTAAAGTAGTAGAAACAAGACAATTCAAGCACTTTAATATTACCAATTTCCAGCAAGACCTTAACCAAGCACTTAACTCAACTTTGTTTTACAATTGCACTGATGCAAATACTGCCTGGTACACATGGAAGAAAATATTTTTGGAAATTGCTGACATTCATGCCCCAGTACTAAAAAGAAAGGTAAAAAGTGAATATAACCCTTGGATGACAAACGAAATTAAGAATATGACCTATCATAGAGATTTTCTAAAGAGAAAAGCAATTAAACATAATTCGACAAGATATCATGAACTATACAAGAATTGCAGAAATCGTGTTAACAATACTAAAGCTATATACTTTAAGAACAAGCTAGAAAGTACTACGAACAGTAAGGAAGGATGGAGAACAATCAATTTATTATTGAACAAAAAATATAAGTCCACATTAATTAACGAATTAAAAGTTGGGGATAGTATAGTTACTGGTGACAAAAATATTGCAACAGCATTCAACAATTATTTTTCTACAATTGGTGAAAAATTGAGTGAGAATTTATCTTGCAACAATACCGACCCTCTTAATTACGTGACACCAGTGACTGAAGTATAACAATGGATGAATTAAGATGCGAGATATTCAAAGCAAAAGCCGGGAAATCAACAGGTTTGGATAAAATTTCAAATAAACTATTAAAAGCAGCCGGGGAGACCATTATCGGCTCCTTAAGTCAAATTTTTAATCTATCTATCGATACCGGAATATTTCCAGACGATTTGAAACACACTAAGGTAACCCCTCTTTACAAATCAGGGGACAAGATGGATTGCGATAATTACAGACCTATCTCAGTAACATCAGCAGTAGCAATTTCTGAAAAGCTGGTCTCTAGGCAACTAAATATTTTTTTAGAATTTCACCAGATAGTATCCACAAATCAATCTGGATTTCGCACTCAATACTCCACAGAGACTGCACTCTTATATTCTGTAAATCAATGTCTTGTAAATATGGACCAGGGCCTTATTAATGGTCTACTGTTTCTTGATATCAAAAAAGCATTTGACACTGTGGACCACAACATACTCATTTCAAAATTAGAGCTTTACGGAGTACGAGGAAAAGCATTACAATGGTTTATTTCATATCTGAGAGGGAGAGAGCAAGTTTGCAAAATTAATCACGAAATATCAGATAGAGCTACAATTACTTGCGGACTCAGGGTTCAAATCTAGGACCACTGCTTTTCTTACTTTACATCAATGACTTACCAAATTGCTTAAGGTCTACAAAAGCATCAATGTTTGCAGATGACACTAATATATCCTGTGACGGAAAATTAGCAACTGACATTCAACAAAAAATTAACTCAGACTTGAACAGTGTTCATAATTGGCTATTAGCCAACAAACTAACTTTAAGTGTTGAGAAAACAAAATATATGATTGTTGGTTCGAGACAAAGGCTTAATCAAATAAATTCAGATCCTGACATATTAATAGGAGATCACATGATAAAGAGAGTTTCTAACAAAAAATTCCTAGGAGTGGTTTTTGACGAACAACTTAATTGGCATAACCATATAGATAATCAATGTGCAAAAATTTCAAAAAACATTGCACTTTTGAGAAGAGCAAAAAGTTTTCTGACAGAAAATGCCCTTATTACAATGTACAATTCACTAGTCCTACCACATTTCACTTACTGCTCAACAGTTTGGCACAATGGAAATATCACCCACATTGACAAATTAAGTAAATTACAAAAAAGAGCAGCACGTGTTATCACTAACTCAGGGTATGACATAAGATCAACAGAGATCTTAAATAGATTGAATTGGGAGCCCATTGCAAATATCCTCGAACAACGTGAACAAACAATGACATTTAAGGCAATTAACAAAATGACACCAAAATATATTTAACAGAAATGTTTACTATGTCCCAGAACGACAATTATGCATTGAGAAGTAACGAACGAAAACTTCACTTATCAAAACCAAACACTAACTTCCTTAAGAAAAGTTTTTCCTACCGCACAGCAGTGTCATGGAATAAACTTCCAAACGAAATTCTCGAGGAACATGAGCATCTTTCATTGAATCAGTTCAAAAGGCTTATTAAAAATTGCTAAGATTTTTAAAAATCTCGAAATTTTATCGAATGTTTATTTGCATTGTAAGGTCGTTATGCATGTTATACTTCAATTTGAATTAATGTTAGTGTGTTATACTTTAGGTTTAGATTTATATCTTTTTAATAGTTTTAGACCACGGCCCTTTGAAAAACAGGCAACTGAAAGGCTACCGTGGATAAATATGTTTAAATAATAATAATAATAATAACCCACAATTTGCGTCCATAATTGTCAGTGATTTGTCCATAATTGTCAGTTTTTCGTGCTTGGAGGTCGAAGTTTGAGCATGACATTGTGAGCAGGGGCGTCGCGAAGGAGGATGAGACACCCCCTGAAAACCGCCGTTGTCGGCAAATGAGTCTTTTGTAGGCAACACTGTGAGACCGCTATTATATTGTTTCAAATTGTAGACGTTGGGAAAAAATGTTAAGTGTTTTTTATGTTAGTCTGGAAAAAATTTTAACCTTTGATTATGATATTCGTGAAAAAATTTAAGCTTTGACGACGAGCCCTCCCCCCGCGCCGCCAACATTTTCGGGAAAATAAATTAGTGGTTGAATGTTATTGGCCCTGATTGTGAGTATCGACTTAATTTGAAAGTACGTGACGTTCATTCAATTTGCTGTATACCGAGTATTAATGTCGCAACCTATCACCATTAAACTTATATACAAATCAATGCTCACAAATACTCTTACCGCTCGTTGCAAATCACGCAGGCGCATATTTAAAAAGCCCCAGCAACTTAACGCTCGAGAGAGTGTCTTGTTCATTCTGAGGTTGGGCCGTCTGTGCTCAGATAAGCTATTTCCCGCATTTTGAGGAGTTTTACAACAAGAATTTAACCTTATAAACAGTGACACAATTACTGCAATTTCACAGTCTCCCAAATGTAATCCAGTCCCAATAAGGCAACATGGTGTGATGTTAGTGATGATACGGTAATTAAGATGTGTGTGGTATAGTATTATCATTCACCACACTTCAAATTCTACAGTACTGCATTACATGTATTGGGGTACTTGAAATTGACGCATTCGTCTTTTCAGTGTCACTGAAGAGCAAGATCGGGTGGTCTCTCTGGAGTATCTTTGCTTGGAAAAACTAAACTACAATTTCGTCCTAAAATGCCACTTCATGCCTTGTTCCATGAGCAAATTATTTCAGTCTGTAATCAGTCATGGTTTAGGTTTCTGGCGGTGTTTAAATTTCAGTCCCCAAATTCTGGCGTACCGAGTCAACTGACTCGGTTGACTCATAGCCAGTTACAGGCGTGCAGATGATGGTCAAATTCAGAAATGTTAACAACAACATCATGATTTTTTTTCTGTGTTGATGTGATGTACTCGCTCAGGTGAATATGATGCTTGTGATGTTACTCTGAGTGTATATCCAGAGGCGCCGGAATATAGATAATTTGGGGGGGGGGGCAGATATTCATATATTCGTGTTCACAGACTGTAAAAACAATCGATTTCAAAAGAAATTAATTGGGCAGAACACGAATATATGAAAATCCGCCCCCCCCCCCCAATTATCGATATTCCGGCGCCTCTGTGTATATCATTCACATTAATCATTTAAATATATTATTTTATTACAAACCGATTTCATTGTATTTGGCGACGAGGATTATTTTCAAGAAATATGGCAACGAAACTTACGCATTTAGCACCACCGCCTGCTTTTGATGCCGAAAGTGATAAGTCGTCCTTAGCTCAACGATGGAAAGACTGGCGTGAAAGATATGACATGTACTTGCTTGCATAAGATTTTCAACACGTTAACCGATACTGGCACAGATTATAAAACAGCTGTGGAGAAACTCGATAGTTATTTTCAACCGCAGAAAAATGTAATTTACGAAAGATATGTATTCAAACAGACCCGACCTAGCCCTGACGAATCGGTTGATCATTTCATTACACGTCTTCGACAGCTAGCGGATACATGTGAGTTTGCGAGTGTAGAAGCTGAAATTCGAGATCATTTTGTAATCACTTGGCCGTCAAAGGTATTTCGTGCAAAATTACTTCGTGAGCCGACACTCACTCTCGAAAAACTACAAGAACTAGCCCGGGCACAGGAAACCGATAATCGTCATGCCAGTGTCATGGCCGACGACGAAGATACCAAACTTAATCGACTTACAACCAATCGTTTTCGAAGTGGCGACCAGAACTAGTCATTTCAAGAAGAAAGCAAAACAGCGAATATATCCGGAAAATATACTGGTAACTGTTTTAACTGTGGTAGCAACTATTTTCCAGGTCACAAACAAGTTTGCCCAGCACAAGGAAAATCATGTCGTTCGTGTGGAAAGCTCAACCATTTTGCCAAAGTTTGTCGCAGTTCCCCAATGCGAAAGCCAGAATTTCGTGCACAAAACAGGGAAAACTCTATTAAAGCAATCATAACAACGCCAAGAGAAACCGGAACCGGAAGTTCGGCGAATGACGACAGCGACGAATACACCTTCACCTTGACCCAAGGTCAATCCAAGTTCAGCCCAACGACGGTAACCAAAACAAACAAGGGTGTTTTCGTGACGGCGAAAATAAACGAAACGGATATAAGATTAGTTCTTGACTCTGGTGCAACAACAAATATTTTAGATTCTGCAAGTTTTGAACGTATTCGAAAGAACAATGCGAAACTCCAACTGGAACCTACGTCAATCAAAATATACCCATACAATTCTACAGTTCCTCTACCCACTACCGGCAAGTTTGAAGTTCAATTTTGTAATGGTACAAAAACTACATCTGCAACATTTCATGTTGTTGAAGGAAATTCTGGGTCATTGTTGGGATATGAGACAGCAACAGAACTGGGACCTTTGCATGTTAATGTCAACCGAACAACAACCATGCCTATTTCTACATCAAGCAACACGTCTGATCTGGTCGCAAAGTTTCAGCACCTATTTACTGGCATTGGTAAACTGAAAGATTATAAACAAAAACTACATCTTGACCCTAGTTTACAACCAGTTGCCCAAAAACCTCGGCTAGTACCATTTCACTTACGTAAGCAAGTATCTGCCCGAATTGAAGAATTGGAAGCACTCGATATCATAGAACGTGCATCAGGTCCAACATCGTGGGTATCGCCTGTGGTCGCAGCACCTAAACCCCACAACCCATCTGAAGTTAGAGTATGTGGTGATTATCGACAACCCAACCGAGCCATAATTCGAGAACGGCACCCTATTCCCACCGTGGAAGAGCTCATGGAGGACATGACTGGTGCTTGTGTCTTTTCAAAATTAGATCTTCGCGCTGGCTACCATCAAATTGAATTGGAAGAAGAATCGAGATCTGTTACCACCTTTTGCACACATGAAGGCTTATATCGATATAAGCGACTACCCTTCGGCATCTCCTCTGCGTCTGAAGTTTTTCAGAATGTCTTGCAACAGTCACTTCAAGGTCTTCATGGCGTTCGTAACATAGCGGATGACCTCATAGTTTGGGGAAAATCCCAGGAAGAACATGATCGCAATCTTGAAGCTTTGTTCCAGCGCCTAGATGCCAAGGGCCTCACATTGAATGGTGATAAATGTGAATACAACCAACCAAGTTTATGGTTTTATGGTTACAGTTTGTCCAAAGATGGTCTATCTGCTGATCCCAAGAAAGTTGAGGCCATAGTCAAAACGACAACTACACAGAATGTTGCTCAGCTCCGAAGTTTCCTTGGTCTAGCTAACTACTGCGCTCGTTTTATCAAGGATTTTGCCACTCTTTCAGCACCTCTGAACGAACTGACCAAGAAGTCAACAAAATGGCAATGGACTGTCATCCACCAACAAGCTTTTGAGAAAATTACGACTGCAATTGCAGAGGATTGCAGCATGGCTTTCTATGATCCTGCCAAAGAAACAACCCTGACTGTTGATGGGGTTGTGAACGCTTCCATTTGTATCTTGTAGGTAAAGAATTTACCCTCTACACTGACTATAAGCCACTTGAACTGATTTATAGCCCTAAATCCAAACCACCACCACGCATTGAGAGATGGCTTCTCCGAATGCAGCAGTACCTGTACCAAGTGCAATACCGACCAGGATCATCAAACTCTGCTGATGTGTTGTCCCGTCAACCAACAGAAACCTATGAGTGGTCTGCTAACACTGCGGACAAGTATATCAACTTTATTGAGAGCCATGATGTCCCCAAATCAATGGCTCTAAAGGAGATTGCTGCTGAGACAAGTACTGATTCTGAGTTACAAGCTGTGATCAAAGCAGTGCAGACAGGACACTGGTATGAAAAAAATGATCCAAACTGCAGGTATGTTACAGCTTATCATAAATTAAAGGATGAACTGTCTATTACTAACAATGGTATACTTTTACGTGACACTCGGATTATTATTCCAAAGTCTCTTCAGAGTAGAACTTTGGCCATTGCTCATGAAGGGCACCAAGGTATAGCAAAAACTAAAGCACTATTACGCACTAAAGTGTGGTGGCCTGGTTTAGATACTGCTGTAGAAAGTCTTGTAAAATCATGTTTACCTTGCCAGTCAGCAACTATCCAAGCACCACAGCCAAAGGTTCCGTTTATCATGACTGATATGCCATCCAAACCATGGAGCGTAGTATACGCTGATTTTTGTAGTCCATTTCCCACAGGAGAAACTGTTCTAGTCGTTATTGACGGTTACTGTCGCTATGTGGAGGTAGAAATAATGAAAAGTACGACCACTACAGCAGTTGTTTCGCGTCTCAAAAAAATATTCGACAGACACGGTTACCCTGGGGCCGGTTGTATCAAAGGCGTTTAACTTAAACGGTGTTTAGCCGCTATCCAGCGTATAAATTTCTTATCCAGCGGATAGTTAAACGGCCGATAAAATTGCGTTGTATGAAGCCCGTTTAGTACCGCGTTTAACTATCCGTAGGATAACCTTTAATTTAACTGGAGAAAACCGGATTTTCTTGAAATTTCTTACCTCTACGTCAGCTGTTGCTAGGCCATTGAATTCCACTAAGCTTTTGCAATAAAGTTTGTTGTTGTTTTTATTTGGAGTTTGCTCGTCCATTCGTTGCTGCAAATCTATATCAAACTTTTCATTTTCACATTGTACTGAGTTTCTCATTCACTTAAATTCACTTACGGATATTTCTTTAAAGATTTTTGGCTTCTTTATGCGAAGAGTCGAAGGCAATAGCAAAAACTGTGAGTTGTATTTGGCTTTTGTCAGTTGATTCAGTTTTATATTGTTTGAAATTTGTTCCTCGACCTTGCACTTTTGTTCAAAACAATTTTAAGAACATTTTGTCCCAAGTTTTGATTGGTTGATCAAAGCGATTAACGCGAGCGAACAATTTTTTTCGACTTTCGGCGTCTTGTTGTCTATTTTGTATACTTGTTGGCTTTCCAAAGTCATTGTTTGTTTTACAATAGCTAAAATTGGGAGTCTTACCGCTTGTTTTCAAACTATATAATAGAAGAAAAGAAGGAGAAAAAGCCAGAGTATATATACTTAACATCTAAACATGACACTGGTGTGCGTAAATATAGCAAAGCCACGGAATTTAATACAAGTGAGCAAGTGACCTCAGTGTACCTCAAGACCAAGCCAGTTAAAAGTGAGTTTTTCATGTTTATTGGATTTAAAAAGATAACTCGTCCACATGATTGTGCATTTTTATAACTATCCCATGCTTTTTCATCCGAAATAATCATTGTTTTATCTTCAAACTCATAGTTTATCCGCCGTATAGCGATTTAAACGGTCTCAAGAGACCGTATAAGTTTACACGGTGGATAGGCAAAATTTAACCGGTGGATAGCCCTAAACGGGCTTGATACAACGCGATTTCTCGAGCGTTTAAATTT